ATGGATTTTTATAGCATTTGAAACATTTGATCACATCTTACTTCTTACTATTCCTTTTCATCCTAATTCACTTTTTATCTCTTTGACCCCTCCTTTTATCTTCCCAATATCCTCCAACCCATTAAAAGCAGGCATCCCAGAAGATTCTTTTCATTACTCACTTCTCTCCTGTAGGGCATCAATCTTATCTACTTCTGTGATTCCACTGTCACCTTTGTGCTTGCTTCCCATCACTTGGGAGAAGAGCAGTTTTACTCTGGCTGCTGCCTTTAGCTTGGATGAGGGCAATAACCTCTTTCTTACCCTGAGGATGCCTGAAGGCAACAGATGAAAGCAGGATGAGCCCAGTCCTTTAGACTAGCATTCCTAAGCTAGTTCTTATACTGTATCTGCAGAACTGATTGTGCTGTTGAGATAGAAAGGGGGTGAGACAACATCAGAGCAAAGGTGAATGAATTTGAGTCCTAGCCACACAATTTTTTTCTCCTCTTCTGTGCCTACCAGGGAGGTAGGAGAATATTGCTTTGGGTACTGGCCCACCCAGTTCCCTGTGATAAATGCATCCCAGCTCGCTGCTGTTGTGGCGGGTGAACAATTTGAGTAGCTAAGTCTCACAGTTTTACTTCTGCTGCCGCAACTTCGCCATCCTCTTACTACTGCATCTGCTGTTGCTGAATGGACTCCTCTTTATATCACTGGATAAAATATCCACAGTCTTTAGGCTCAGGGGCAGCCTCTGAAATCCATCATATAAAAAAAAAATGCCAGAGCTGAGGAATAGGCTTCAAACAAATCATGTTGGTATTCCTCTTAACTTAGAAATCACCTCATGTAAGATTTACAGATCCAATTTAATTCAAGGAGATGTAGCTAAACCCAGTGCAGTGGAGGTCCAGATAGTACACAAGAATTCCTCAAAGCAAACAATATCAGTAGGTAGGCTAGCAGCAGATGGTGAGAAGAATGTACCTCCTCATATGATGTAGACCAGAGATGAAGCAAATGTTTTTTTTGTTTGTTTGTTTGTTTTTTGTTGTTGTTGTTTATCCTTTTCGGTCTTGATTCTTGTATGACTGATCTCTCTCTATGGTGTTCTACAATGAACATTCAAAGAATTAGACTTAAGAAAAGGCCTTTCTTTCACTTTCCTGTAATGATAGTCAGTGAGATGTCCAACAGTAGTTGCCGCTAGGCTTATTGGAAGTCCTGTATTCAAAGGCCTTTTCTTCTTTTTTTTCCCAATACATTTTTTATTTATTTCATTAAATACTTTTTCAATTACACATAAAAACATTTTAAGCATTAATTTGCCTTAAATTTTGAATTCCAAATTATCTTCCTCCATCTCTCCGTTCTTCCTTTCTTGTGAAAGGAAGCAGTTTGTTATAGATCCTACATGTGAAGTCATACAAAACATATTAGCCACGTTGCAAAAGAAAACAGACAAAACAAAACAAAAACACCAAAAAAAAAAAAAGTTTAAAAAGTATGATTTTATCTGCCCTCAGATTCCATCAGTTCTTTTTTTGGAGGTAGATAACATTTTTCATCATAAGTCCTTCAGAATTGTCTTGTATCATTATATTGCTCAGAATAGCTAAGTCATTCACAGTTGATCGCTGTACAATATTGCTATTACTGTGTACAATGTTCTTCTGGTTCTGTTCAATTGACTTTGCTTCAATTGATATTAGTCTTCCCAGGTTTTTCTGAAACCTGTTTGTCATTTCTTATAGGACAATAATATTCTATCATAATCATACACCACAACTTGTTCAGACATTCCCCAATTGATGTCTTTGCCACCACAAAAATAGCATAAAAAATATAAATATTTTTGTACATATGTCTTTTTTCTCTTTTCTTTGATCTCTTTAGGATACAGACCTAGCAATGGTATTTCTGGTTCAAGGGGCATGAAGAGTTCTATAGACCTTCGGGCATAGTTCCAAATTGTTCTCCAGAATGGGTGGGCCAGTCCCCAACACCACCAACAGAGTGCATTAGTGTCCCAATTTTTCATATCCCCTCCAACATTTCATTTTCCTTTTTCTGTCATATTAGCCAATCTGCTAAGTGTGAAGTGGTAAGACTTTGGGCAAGTCATCTATGCTCCGTGGGCTTCAAGTTCTGTATATACAGAATGAAGGGGTTGGACCAGATGACCTTGGAGGTGCCTTCCAGCTCAAAATTTTTGATGCTAATCCTGTAGTCATGACTTCTACTTGCTCCCAAACTTTTTAACCCTGGTAATTTTCAATGCCTTATATAAGGTGAATGGTACTTTTTTAGCACTTCTAACATCTGTAATTTCATCTGTGTGGGCATTCCTGCAGCTAACTCTGAGATACCTCAGTCTACAACCTACAATCTTAGATTGTGTTTAGGAGGGACTATGGCCAAAATATTCACAAACCTGAAGCCAACCTGAGGATGAGCCTCTCTAAATTTAGCCATGCTAGTTCTAAAGCATCAGACTCAGGGCTCATTGACCATGCTTGAAGCCCTTCCAACTCAGTATGACTTGTCAGAACTTGCTTGTACAGACTTTGAGATTCCAGAGTCATTTCCGTATCACAGTATGACTCCAGAATCAAATTTGAGTGGACATCTGTATTGCAGATTAATAAAGAAACACTCTCTTTACACAATTGATTTTTATTTGTCAACTTTTTATGACAACCTGTGCTCCAAGAGATATGTTTGACTTGTGTAGTTATAAAGCAAATAATTTTTGGACTTTAAAGACTTACATGGCAATATTTTATCTTTTAGAACCAGTTAACAGACATGGACATGCAAGGTAAGTACTTATTTATCATGAAACTATTTATAAGTTGTTTTTAATGAATATGTCATCTGCTTGCTTGATTTCTAAGAATAATAGTGATAAATTCCTACTTATTTTTAAGAAATTAAATTTTGTATCGCACCTGAGAACCCCCAAGTTCAATGAAGTCCACAGAGGGGAAAGAGAATAAGCACTTAGGTAGTGTCTACCTAGTGTCAGGCACAGTGCTAAGTGCTTTACAAATAAATATTAACTCATTTGATCCTTACAACAATACTGCAAGGTAGGTGCCATTAATGCTCATCATATAGTTGAGGAAACTGAGGCACATAGGTTAAGTGACTTCCCCAGGTTCATACAGTTAGTGAGCATCTGAGACCTGATTTGAACTCAGGTCTTCTTGACTTCAGGCCCAGCGCTCTGTGTACTGCACTACCTCATTGCTATTGAGACTGTGACTTGCCCAGATTCTCTCTTGGTAGACGGAGATGAAATATAGCTAATACCCGTCCAATTTGAGACCCGATCAGTCTTGGGTCTTCTAAAAAGTGTAAACTTGGCCAAGGCCCTTCCCCTCTTTGAACCCCAGAGCTATCAAGGTTAATGATTGAACTGGGGGACCTTTGAGGCTCCTTCTGGTTCCCCTCTGCTGTGGTTATTTGTTTAGTATGAACATCTTTTTGTTGTCATGATAGAGGGGGATCAGCTCACATTAGTGGAAACAGACTTTTCAGTTATGGAAAGAATATGCCCAATTTTGGTCCTGTAGGTTTTCCTCAAGTTTACATTCAGCTTTCTTTTAGCTCTTGTTGAAAGAATCTAGTTGTTATGAATTCTTCAATAACTAACTGGTGAATTTGATTAATATAAGTATATATTTAAATTCAATATGGCCCTGCTCTCCCTACTCCAGACCCCCAAACATCACTTTTCTTCCCTCAAAGGGTGTGTCTTTTTGGTTCATTTTGACTAACATATTTTTACTCCATCTCAATTTTTTTTCTACTTTATACAGTAGACAGAACCAAAGATGAGGTATATCCTTCAATACAATTCTAGCCTTACTAGATACACTACCTTTACACCTATGAATGGAATCTCAGCCTCCTTTCAAGCCTTTCAGCCCCACTAGAAAGTTACGTGGTTACTCATTTGTTTTATCACTTTAATTTAATTTCCTGAATGGAATGAATGAGTTTTTAAGGTTGTTTACATAGGATTATGTTGTTTCATTAGCAAGCTATGTTCCTTTAAAAAATAATTCCTAATTAAATTTTAAAAGGTTTATTAATTCAGCCAAAACCATCTTTTACACTATTTAACTTCATGATTCAGATAAATTGCAGAATTTTTAATGAGTTGTCCCTATTATTTGAAAGGATGTACTGTATTCTTTGTTGTTGCCCTTTTTATTGTTGTTTTTCCTGTCTCTTATCGGGAAAGGAATAGGCCTGGAATTTAAGCATAGGTCTGGAATTTCATTGTCTCCTTTTAAGTGAATTTCAGCAGTGTTACTTATAGTAAATAAGCAGCAATTCTAAGCTGCTATTACGAGACCAATCCTTCTAAGCCAGAAAAGAAAAGAAAAAAGTGTTTGTAAGAGTGTGAAATATGAAAGACTGGTGTTACAGAGGACCCTCAGGCTAAAAAGATACAGGGATGGGAATCTGGAGGAGAACGGCCTAGGGCAGGGGTGGAAAACCTGCAGCCTCAAGTTTTATAGAACAAATCTTCTCATTAACGGGATTTTTTCTTTGTGAAGTTTGGATTCAGTCAAAGGGCCTCACTTGAGGACCTCGAAGGCCACATGTGGCCTCTAGGCCACAGGTTTCCCAACCCTGGCCTAGAGTTTCTAAGTAGTTGCCTCTAGCCAGCAGACATTGTTCTGGAAACAGAGCAGCTAGTATCACAGTGAATAACACTTCTGGGCTGCTATGCAGTTTTCCTCTGCCTTTGTTCTTCTAACTGAAAACACAAATGGCTAAATTCTTTAGAGCTCCATATTCTTGGCAAAGTTATAGTGATGAAGACCAACATTGGAAATTTAGGAAGACTGGGCATGACTGTCTCAAATTGTGCTCAGTTTCTGTGATCTTCTAATTTAAAAAAAAAAATGTAAATTTGTCTATAGATGTTTATATCCTAGTCATAAGTAGCCCTTGAAGAAATGAATAGGAGAGAGGGTGACCAATGTTAATGATTTGAAATGAAAAACAAGTATCTTGATAGAAAGGCACTGTATTTTTTTTTTTTTGGTGAGGTAATCAGGGTTAAGTGACTTGCCCAGGGTCACACAGCTAGTGAGTATCATGTGTCTGAGGCCGAATTTGAACTCAGGTCCTCCTGACTCCAGGGCTGGTGCTCTATCCACTGTGCCACCTAGCTGCCCCCCCACCTCTTTTTAATGGTGAATTTCAGTATTTATTTATGTTTTATAAGTAATATTATGTTAACATAAACAAAATGAAATGTAAGATTAGATAATGCTCTGTACAACTATTTTTAATGATACAGGCCCTCCTTGCCTGCTAAAGGAATGGTGTGCGTGTGTGTGTCTGTGTGAGCAATTTGTCATAAGCACAAATTATCCAAAGAACTATTTTTTTTTTAAGTGAAGAATTCACTTTTCTAGAAAGGCGACGTGTCAAAATGGATAGAGTGTTACACTTGAAGTAGGGAAAGCAAGTGGTCAAATCTCACTTCTGACATTTCTTGGCAGTGTGATATTAGACAAGTCATTTGGCATCTCTGAACCTCAGGCACCTTTGTAAAATGAGGTTATAGATGTTACAGATTACAGTCCACCATTTCCAGCATATGTTGATTTTTACCTCTTGAGAGCTTACTGAGTCAAGAATTAAGTATGTACCATCAGAAAATTATGAACCTCAAATGGTTTATATAGGAGAGACCTATAAGGAAGCATCTTTGAATCTGATTGAGCTAAATTTTTAAAGTAACAGTGTTAAATGTTATATGTTGCATATTTATTTTCCCAGATATTTGTCATCAAATCAAATAACAAATCAACGTCTTGGTGTCTTATAGATGGACAAAATAACTCTCAGTACATAACAGAAACATTTCAAGGTTAACAATCTCACACGTGTCTTTGTCAAAAGTCATTGGGCTTTCATTATCTATAATTATGGAATCCAAAAAGAAGGTTGGATTAGAATTGTTAGAACAGGGGCAACCAGGTGGCACAGTGGATAGAGGACTGGCCCTGGATTCAGGAGGACCTGAGTTCAAATCTGGCCTCAGACACATAACACTTACTAGTTGTGTGACTCTGGGCAAGTCACTTAACCCCATTGCCTAGCAAAAAAAAAAAAAAGAAAAAGAATTGTTACAACATAAGTTCTTTAAAGGCAGAGATTCCTTTTTTTTTTCCTTTTCCCATTTCTATCCCTAGTGCCTTGCATGTAATAAGTACTAAATAAATCTTTGTTGAATTGAAGCCTTGGGAGTAGAAGGAGCATGATAACATTCTTCAAGATTTTGTAAGGCTGTCACATAGAGGAAGGATTAAACTAGTTCTGGGCAGAACTAGAAACAATGGGTAGAAATTAGAGAAGATTTGAATTTAGCAAAACTTTAGTAAAACTTACAAGTGCCTAGTGTGTCTGAAAGTAGAATGGACTCCCTTGGGAGGGAGATGATAGATGAGTATGGTGAGGAGATTCCTATTTAGATATGGTTTGGTCTCTGACTTCTTAACTTATCAAATTAGCAAATGATGCAGAGCTGGGAGAGGGAGCTGATATACTCCATAACTGAGTTGAGGATCCAAAAAAGAGAGGAACAGTAGGGTGAATCTAAAACAATGAAATTGAAACTCTTATACTTAGGTTCAGAAAATTAACTTCAGATCTACATGATGGGGGCATCATGGTTAGACAGCAATTTGTCTGGAAGAAAAAAGAGGTGGGGATACATAGGTGGATTACAAGGTCAAACTTGTCATCAGTATGTTGACAGAAAAATATGATTTTAGAATAATTTAGTAGAACAAAAAGTGAGGAAATTGTGCTCTCCATTTCCTGCTCACATAAGATCATAACGGAAGTATTGTGTTCTGTTCAGGTATTACATTTTAGGAAGGATATTGGGAAACTGGAGGCCATTCAGAAGAGGGCAAACAGAATAGTGAAGGGCTGAAGGAAGTAATGATATTTAACCTAGAGAAAAGAAGAATAAAAGTAGATCTAACAGTCATTTTTTTTTAACAGGGTCTTGTTGAAAATATAATATTGAGCATCAATACAACCACCAGGACTTAGTGACCATATCAAATTAATTAACTTTAATGAATAAAATAACATTTTTACATCTCTTACTATCCACTCTCCCCACCTTATCCAGTAGAAACACTTTTATAACAAATATGTAATCATATCAAGTCAATCATTCCTTAAACATTTACAAGGTGTCTACTACTTGCCAGGCCCTGGGCTAAGTGCTGAGCATAAGAAAGGAGTCAAAAGACAATCCCTGCCCTGAAGGAGTTTACAATCTTATGGAATCAACAATTGGCTACTATTGCAAATGCAGGTCTTGTTCTGTCCCTCAAGTCCATTATCTCTCTGCCAGGGCTGGAATGCATATTTCATTTTCAGTCTTTTGAAGTCATACTTTGTCACTAATTTGGTCAGAGTTGTGAAGTTTTTCAGAGTTGTTTGTGCTCACATTATTTTTGTGATTGTTGTGATCAGCTCATACAAGCCTTTTTTATATTTCTCAGAATCTGTCATATTCCCTATTGTGGGACAATAAAATTTCATTTTATTTCTAGACTACAATTTATTTAGCCATCTTTCAATTGGTTGGCTCTCTCTTAGGTTATAATTCTTTGCTACCGTACAGAGTATTGCTTTAAATGTTCTACTGTGTCCTACTAGGGAACATGCCTAAATAGGATAGTATTGCTAGGTCAAAAGGTACATGCAGTTGGGTATGTTGTTGATAAATCTTTTGAACATATCGGTTTCAGAAATCTCTTTGCTAGTGTA